CTTAAATAACGTTTCTTCAATAAAGCTGTCCTGAAAACTGTAATAAAATCAAGATGAAAAAGAGCACTGGTGAAAGTACTCATGGGGAATGTGTTGCTGAAAAGCTGTGAATTCAGAGACCTCAATCCATGTAGTTCCTTTCCACAGGTGTCACCTCCAGAATATGCCTGTCCTGGGTCACTCTCCAGAGACTTCCAGGAACTGAGTTCTTGTCAGTATATTCTCCAGATTAAAGCAGTGTTACCCATGGGCAGGTGGGGCTGATGAAGCTACTCCACCATGACCAGAGGGATGAGCTTCCCCATTGCATCACTAAACTTAGGAAAGGCTCCACTTCGTGTTTAGCCCTGACGCCTTTCCCAGAGAGGTCACTGGAGCAGGGCTGGACACATGGTTTATCTTGATTACAATGCTCTGACCTCAGTTTGTCTGCAAATCCTTTAGACGGTGAAGGGTGAGGAGCCCAGTGGGATCACACCTGGGGGTGAGGCTCCTCACAGAGACCTTTCTTCCCCTGGACCTACCCATGGACAGTAGGCCTTGACATGACTTGTTCTAAGAAGAGGAGGGACTCAAATTTTTGTTGTGGAGAAAGGAGGAGCCTCCCTTTTTAATTTTCAGAATAGTTCTTTTGGATCCAAGGGAAACTTGAGATTAGAAGGTGAATGTGGAGGACAGGCTGGTAGTCAAAGGGATTGTCTGAGGATTGTCTCCCATCTTGTGTCGGGGGAAGCAGTACCCCGTGCATGGAGAGCAGGGAGCAAATGCTCCATGAGGACAATCAAGTGCCTGTGGATTTATATCTGTAAACAAGGGTTTCATCATAGTTGGGAGATTCTCGGTGTAATGTCTGCGAGCTCTTGTCTGCAGATGATGAAATTTCTTCTAGCCTTTAAGGCTCTCAACCAATGATCATGGGCTTCTGTTTTGAGCAACCAAATCTGCTTCTGAGAAGAAGAATTGGATCTTTCTAGCATTTCTTCTAGACCTTTGATTCCTTTTCTGTAGGTCTCTGGTTCTTCATTTTTAAAGCTTATCATGTCATTTGCTATGGAAATCCTCACCTTTGGCTGCAAGTCTTGATTTGTGTTGATAGGTAATAACTCAATACAATCCATTTCTGTGTGGTGTTAAAGTCAAGTCATTTCATTTTCTTTCTCATCGAGATGTATATTATAGCTAAGTGCATATATTCTTTAGTTCTGTTTTCTGCGATGCCTTGAGCTTGCTTTTACCCACTTAAAATGAGCACAACTAGTGCAGAGACCTTGATTATAAACCACATTTTGAGATGAAAAGTCCCAGGGGTCCTCTCAGAAATGGCTGATTGGAGAGCTGAAGTAGGGAAAATATAAAATGAGCCAAGAATACATTGCTGTGTCAAAAAATAAACAAATCTCCAAGAATTCCTTACCTAGGCCACGTCTGAAAGGGTCTTCCCAACATCTTCATTTAGAATTCTTAAGGTTTCGTGCCTTAGGTTTAAGTCTGTTATCCAACTTGAGTTGATTTTTGTGAGAGGTGAGAGGTAGGGGTCTAGTTTCAGTCTTCTGCATGTAGCTATCCAGTTTTCCCAGCACCATTTATTGAAAGGAGATTCTTTTCCCCAG